TAGAAAAAGTGCTGCCTATAAGGCTAGTGGAATTGATATCCACATCGTGTAGGTATGGAAAACATGAGCTGTGAAATTCCACCTACAAGCAGAAAACAGAACTCTGTGCTCGGCCACTCCAGCCTGCACCAAGGGACCCTACGAAGAGCCTGAGAGTTGGAAAGCCCGTTGGAGGTCACCTGGTCCAGCTTCTCCCAGAGGGTTTGGTCCATGATTCCTGGCCCCAGGGAGCAAGGTAAGTGTAGAAGACATCTTCTACATTTCTCCTGAGCAACACCTATAAGGAGGGGAAAGATAGCAGTAGATGACAGACAATCCTAGAGCTCCCCAGAAGCAACACTACTTTATGGGTCCAAGTGGCTGTAAAACTGAGGAGGTTCCATGCTAATGAAAAGCCGTGTCTGGAACCAAAAGGATAGTGTAGCTCTAGGTATCAGGATGTTACTGGTTTGCATCCCCACCTTAAAGACAATCAAGTAGTAGTGCTTTCACTTCACCCTGAAACCTAAGAGGGAACAAAAATTCCCCTTTCTGTTAGATCCAAGATTCTCAAGCATTTTGTTCAAATGTTGGGTTCCTTTTGGGGAGAGAGGAACATAAACACGTTTGGTATTTGACGTATGTGTGTGTTGTGTGTGTGTGTGTGTGTGTGTGTGTGTGTGTGTGTACACAAAGAAAGGCTGCTTCTTCCCTCTCACCTCCCTGCATCACAAGACTTTGCCTCTTTCTTTGAACTTGTAACTTTCAGCAAAGTGCCAGGGGGCATGCAGTTTCTAGGTTGTCGGTTTTCCAAGGTCATCCTTTGAGATGAGCTGACTGCTGGATGCATCTGTAATAAGTCAGACGAGGGTTTCTTCGGCTGACTTAGTCGGCTCTGCCCCTCTGATCTGAACTTGCTGAGGAAGCCGGTGTGCAGCCTGTACCCTGTTTAGTGTCTGTAAATTCCTAGAAGAAAATGAAAGCAGAGTTGAATAATTCCTGGAGCCTATTCCTTATCTCCTCTCCCCTCCCTCCCTGTCCTTTGGTGAGTGTGAAACACGTGACAGTGTCTGGCGGAGTTGATGGACAGAGAACCAGTGGCCTGTGGGTTGGGGCTCAGAGAAAGAGGTTATCCTAGGATGAAATACAAACCATATCACATTGATTTTCCCTTTTGGGGGCCCAGATATCACATCCTTCCATTTCCCTCTAGTCCTTGCCTGCCATCGACAGGGAAGCATTAACAGGGAATAATCAATGGCATTCTGTCCTGAAAATAAAAGGCTTGTCATGTCTCTCCATTTGGTGGAATGGATGTGGGACCAGGGGTCATGTGGCCACCTTCCATCTGTCTCCTGACACAGGCACTGACTCAGACATGCTTTCCATCTGGAGGGCCGCAGCCCACAGCCAGGTGACTGCAAACTCTCCATGGGCATCAAGGAAAACAAGACTTCAGTTTCTTTGAACTCTTGTGTCAGGAGTTTGGCTAACTATCAAACATGGCAGCTTAGGAGTGGCTTTACTGAACTTTAATTTCTGGGTTACATAATGGATTGATGTTCCCTAATATGATGGATGCTGTGCTTGCAGTCAAAACAAGGTTATAGATCCACTGTTTCATGATAGACTCGCAGAAAGTCAGAATTGAAAGGGACTTAAATCTGTGGTCCAGCCCTAATGCATATCTGATGTGTGAGTTTGCTACAGTTTTTCTGAAAAACCCAATGGTTGCCTGGACACGACTGCCTCCCAGTGTTGCTCTTACACTAACCAAAATCTGTTTTCTGGTGCTCATGGCCTTCGCTTAAGAGTATCCCCTCCATATGCTCCCACCTCTTTCCTTTAGATCCAGTTTCTGCCTGGTTCCCAACTCCCAACTCCTGATTCTTTCCCATTCACAATCCTGCTAAATCTCTTTAGATTTAACCCTTATATTTGGTTTGTTCATCAAACCCTCTGGTTTGGAAGCATGAGACTTTACCATTTAGTACTTATTCTCTTATTTACTCTAACCATATTTGTTTGTTGCAAAAAAAAAACCCCCCACAAATAATATGTATAAAAATGCTTAGTGAAATGTAATTCATTATGTCTAGGCTGCAGTTTGTTATAAAAGCTCCCTTCTAGAATCTCCTATTATCCTGGTTGCCTCCACGATTCCTGACAATAATTTAGCAATCCCATTTGCAAGGGTTATCAGCATCCTGGAATGTAATTCATCGAGGTAAGCGACTTTAATTCATTAGAGCAGATAGACAACAGGTGCACTTTTTATAATCTCTTCACTCGGGGCTTTAATTCTCTTATCAACATTTGTGCTATTCATTTCTTGGTAAGAGATTTTGTTTGACAGAAAAGATGGAAGCAAATTAGGGGTGTAGAAGTTCTGCCTTCTTTCTGATAAAAATCACTATCATGTCTAAACAGTGGCTTGTGTCGTTTTTGTTGTTGTTGTTGTTGTTGTTTTATGTGCCCTAAACTTAACATTAAAAAGTAGAAGCCATTTTTTCATGCCCTTGCTGCTTTTTGCAAGTCTCTACTCATTGCTGGCTTTAGCCTTCTGATGCTCCTTAACCGAAACCCATCTTGTTTATTAAAGTTTGTATTCATATTCCATTCTGCCAAGATCTTGAAGAATAAAGGCCTATGAGAATAGAACTGTTATGTGGGAAAGTGTTTTGAGCATAGTATCAATTCAGGACCTTTTGTTTCATCCAAGGACTAAAGCACCTGCTTTTAGCATTAGCCTGGAAGTGATCCTAAGGGTTTACCAGGCCACAGACCCCGTTATAGACGCACATCACCCTGTCATCATGAACTTCTCTTCCATAGCACAGCCTGTCACTGTTCTCAGAGCTTCATGCTACTTGTTATGTAGGCCCTTGGTTTTGTGTTTCTTCTTTCCACCCTTTATATTTGTGCTTGTCAGAGCTCCTCCTGTCGTTGTCTACATTTCCTTATATTCCATCTCTCTTTCCTTTTGGTGACATTTTTAAATGATACACTCAGGTTTGAGCTTTTGAAATTTTGATCATGAACTACCTTCCTTATGCTAATCATCACTAATGTGGCTGAAATTTAGAAACTAAACACACACACACACACACACACACACACTTCTGATTATCAAAGTAAATTATACATATAGACATACTGTAGCCCTTTAAAAAAGTTTAGAGAAGTAGAAAACTATTTTTTTTTAAATCACATAATCTTACCACCCTAAAATAGCTACTCACTGACATTTGGTATAATTCATCTAGACATTAGTCTACATGTATTTTGAAATCTACATGCATATAGTAATAATACTTACATCAAACATTTTATACTGGACATGTTACATAGCCTCCCCCCATTAATATAAATTCTTGATATAAGTGCTTATATTTAATGCCTGCATAATATTGCATACATGAAACACATAGTGCTTCTATTATTGGACACTAAAGTTGTTCCCAGGAGTTTCTTTCATAAATAACCCCATGTGAGGTTAGAGGGGGCACAATCCCCAAGACTGCTGTCATATCTGACAACTGTGAACATAAAGAGAACAGTTCACAAGGCCACCCTTACTTGTGACATTGATTGTAAGTTTGGGGGTTCCCAAGACCACCTTGAGTTTCAATAATTCACTAGAAGGACTCACAGAATTGACTGGTGGCAATTATCCTCACGGTTATGGCTTATTACAGTTAAAGGATACAGAAGAAAATCAGCCAAGAGAAGAGACACATGGGGTGGAGTTCAGGAACATGCCAGACGTAGAGCTTCCAGTTGTCCTCTTCTCATGGAATTATCAACAGTGTCGCTTTCCCAGCAACAATGCATGACAATGAACCTGAAGTATTGCCAACCAGGGAAGCTCACCTGAGCCTTGGTGTCCAGAGATTTTATTGGGGTTTCATGGTTCACTGCCTGTGTGACTGATCTCTAGTCCCAGCCCCTTCAGTCATAGAGTGGATGCCACATGGGCCAAAGCCCCCATCATAAATCACAGTGTTAGATTGCCCAGTGGCCACGGCCCCCAGGTAAACAAAGACACTCTTATCAGGCAGGGCATTCTGAAGGCCTACTCACCTTCCAATAGCTGAGGGCAAAGGCTGGGACTGCACCGTGGGTAAAGCGAATTCTCTATTACACATCTTGTAATGAATATCTTTATGCATAAGCTCTGTCCATTTTGAGGGCTATTTCTTTAGGTTAATTTCCCAGAAGTGGAATGACTGGATCAAAGAGTGTACCAATTTATACTCCACCCTTCCCCACTTTCCTACCCAGCAATGTATCGGGTATTTGTTTTATCACACCCTCACTTAAAATGGGTATTGTCATTTAAAAAAAACTTCTGGCAATTTGATAGACACAAAATAGAATCACCTGGTTTTCATTTGTATTGCTATGATTACTGACAAGGGTATATACCCATTTGTTCATTTTTAAAGCTTTTATTATGCAAGATTTTGAGTACCCACAAAGGTTGAGAGAATAGCTTAATGAACTCCCATGTGCCCATCATACCAGCCTCACAACAATCAACCCCTGAGAATTCTACCTCATTCATAGCTTCACCTTCTTCTCTCACTCTCATAGTTTTTGAAGAAAATCTCCTAGACATATCATTTTATCTTTAATATTTCAGTATGAAATTCTAAAAGCTCAAGATTCTTTATTAGAAGTCCACAAATATAATGATCATACTTTAAAAATTAATAATTTTTAATATCAAATATCCAGTTGATAGTCAACTTTCTGATTGTTTCATAATTATCATTTACATTAAAAAGAAGTCAGGATGCAAATGTGGTACAGATAGTGAGATTTGTAGATATATCCTTTTTTTTATACTGAACATTTCAATTTAAATATTTTCCCTTCTTTTCTCATAGAAGTAGGGAAAGGAGAACAGAAAAAATGGAAATCTGGACATTTCTAAATAAAGTTTGAGGTGGGGGGAGTGGACACCAAGGAAACGGGTGGGTAGCATTTAAAATTTAGAAATATTTACAACCACGGACTCATCTGTTAAGCTTCTTGGGCTCAATCTGTCACTTCAACACATATGCCAAAACTATCAAAATACTGTTTACAACTTAAGGATTTCCTCCACTCCCTCCCAGATTTCTTGCCCCACAGAAGTGGCATAAATATCAAAAACACAAATATTCTGTTATATACAACATAAGGAGTGAAGACTGGAGGTATGTATGTGTTGAGGATGAAAGGAAGAAGTTCGGAATGTTCAGTCCTGTTCATAAATGTCTCTAGGAAAATCACGTGGTTTTGGCCTTGGCCACGGGCTCTGTCTCCTGCTCATACTCTATCTCCACATATGCTCGTTTTCTTTGCAAGGGTCCTTTCAAGGGTGTTTTGCCTTTGTGCTTGGCATCAAGGGCCTTTTCTTCTTCCTCACTGGAGGATTTATTATCCTCATCTTCATCACTGCTGGCATCCAGTTTATCCATATCCTCAAAATCACTTATGTCACTCTCATCCACCTCATCATCTTCCACAAACTCTCTTTTTCCCACATCTTCATCATCATCGTCATCATCTTTTTCCTCAGCATCTGAAGAGTCGCTCTATGCCTCCTGCTGCTCCAGGGTCTTGTCGAAGGCGTGGATGGGGAAGTTGTAGATATCGCCATACGCATCTTGTTTAAGTCTTTCCAGCAATTCCTTTTCAATGGCATTGTCCAGCTGAGCAGCTATTAATGCCTTTTCCTCTCTTCTTTTTTCCCTCCGCTCCACCTTCTTACTCAAAGGAACAAGTTTCGAATTCGAAATTGGTACTGGGTAATCTTGGTGAATCTCTGTTTACATTTGTGTCGAATGAAACGGGGCCAGTAAATTAGATTTTCATCTATTTGCTCCAGTGCTTCCTCATAGTTTTTATGAAGCCGGACCTGTTCCCAGTGACATCTGGGGAAAGCTGCTCACTCGATAACCTTCATATACAAGTAGCACTGTCCTGTAGGATAAAGTAAGTACCTTTTTCTTCTTTGATAGTGGCATACTGACTATTTGCCAGGGGACAGGACGACCGATTACACAGTCCAGTCAGGCTATATTCATTTCTGCAAAAGCTCTGTGTCTTGGTTCTTATTTTGAAGAAACAAAATTGCTTGTTTCCTAGTGTATCCCAGATAACATCATCTGACTGCATGGTGTCCGCGATTCAGCTGTAGATATATCTTTTAATCTAACATATGTCCTTTAATTTACAAACCCCCTCCCCCGCATTCTTGCTCTTACTGTTGGCAGCTCTGAAGAAGCAAGCTGCCTTGAAGTGGCTCATGAGGCTAGGAAATGTGGGTAATCTCTAGGAGCCGAGGGTAGATTCCAGCAAAAAACTGAAACCTTCAGTTAGGCAACTATAAGGAAATGAATTCTGGCAACTATCTAAGGGAGCTTGGAAGCAGACCTTTTCTCTGTTGAGCCTCTGATGAGACCACAGCCCCAGCTGACACTTGGATTGCAGTGTGGTGAGACCCTTAAGCAGAGAACTGAGCTGTGTGCAGACTTCTGACCTCCAGAAACTATAGATCATAAATTGTGTTGTTTCAAGCTGCTAAGTTTATGGTAATGAGTTAAGTGGCATAGAAAACAAATACATTGGGTGTCCACTAAATCTATGTTGAAGTGATTGAATGAATACGTAAGAAGGCTAGTTAAGTTCTTAACTGAATGAGTCTTCCAGCAGTGAGCAGATGGTCGATCTCCCCCACTACTGCTGTTGGCTTTGACATGGGTTTGTGATTCATATCAATGCTGACTGAGTTGGTCAGACCCTCCTTCTGGCCAGGCCGACTGTGGCATCCTCCAACAACATTGCCTCACCACCCACCCGCACCTCTTCTCCCACGAGCTCCTCTCAGCCTGCTTGCACTGACCTTAAGATGCATTTCTGGAGAGGTATGCATCCTCCTGAGAGCCCTCCTCAAGGGTTTGTACCTTCTCAGTATACATGGTGGTTTCTTCTCTAAGACAACACTGAGCATATGGTCTTTGGGTGTCTGCCTGTACTCTCTTCACCCTGTGCGTATTTCTGCCTTTCATATAATTTATCTTCTCCTCTCTACAGAGCTTCCCCAATCTGATTCCTGGATGCTTATAAATTGCCTCCAACATAAAGCTTTTCAGTGGGACATAAGCATGCCACCTCGAGCTGACCCTGTGTGGTCACCGCACAGACCGGCCACGCTGGGAAATGCCCTCCCACTTTCCCCCTGCAGGGGCAGATCCCCTCTTTGTCCCCACGGCCCCAGGCTTCACAAACTCCTTGTTCTCTTATTGTTCTCTCTACCACCTCCCATACTCCATCCAGCCTGGGTGTTTAAAAACAACCAGTATGGGAATATGCCATTTCATCTGTTTTCATTTTTTTATTGTAAAAAGAGGAAGCGAGAACTAACGGTAAAATTGCAGATGAATAATGAAAGAATTCCTCACAGCTGTTCAGGGATATATATTTTTCCTGCAGTGGAGCGAGACGGATTCCCATCACAGCTCGGGGACTTGTTCCATGAAGCCGCTCATCTGTCATGCTCTGGGGGAAGGGGAAGGTGGAGGAGTGTCATTATGGATGTAACTGGGCTCAGAAGTGACTGGTCAAGGTTGACACGACAGTCTTGACGGAACTGCTTATGGAAATTGTCCTGGGAGGCACTGCTGGCTGGTAGAGTGGGTAGCTCCAAACAGCCCCTGTTCTGTGGCTGATTCCCGATTCCTTTCCAATCAGCCTCTCTTGAAGCTGAAATAAGTCCCTCCAAGGTAGCTACCCAAGGAAAAGACCCTTGACCTGTTTCAAACTAGATAGATCTCAGTTTGGCAATAAGCCTGAACCAGATGCCCCTAATTGTCTATTCTTTCCTGTCCTGAAGCTGCTGACCCGTCTCCCTGGGAACTCTGAGCAGAGTAGAATCAGGGCTGTCTACATCTGCAGCTGGTGCGTTATGCCCAAAAGGAGAAGTGTTTGGGATCTTGTGTGTGTGTGTGTTTGGGGGGCTTGCTTCCCGTTTGCCAATCCTGTGTGGATGCTGATTTAGTTTTTAAATGAGAAGACTAAGGAGGACAGAAATGGGTCCATCTCAAGACAGAGAAGCTAGACCTCAATTTCCTCTCCTGACCCCTCTTTTCTAATGCCGTGAAACAACTTGTGCAAAGAGCAAAATTTTCTCCCGCTAACAGCTGTTCTTCCCTCTCTTCACTCCTGCTTTTCAGAAGCTGACCCTATTACAGCGCACACAGTCACGGCTGCTGGAGAGGCTCAGGACAGGCCCCGCGGGACTGATGGCTGTCACACTCTGGGGGAAGAAACCCCCACCCCGCCCTTACATTTATTTTATTATTGCCAGCGTCCTTCCTAAAAGGATTTGTCATGTCTGACAAAAATACAAATAGTGCGCGGCAAGGTAGATGGTGAGGGAGGAACATCAAGCCGGGGAAACAGAGGCAGGAAAATAAGCAGCCACACGAGGCTCTTATACCAAAGACCGAGTGATGTTCACTCACCAATTTGGTTCTGACTTTTCTGTAAGAAGGAAACATAATTAACGATTCCTTCACAGTGTCTACGACAGAAAAGCAAACTAGTTGTTTGGGAGGAAGTTCTGAGGTTCCCACCGAATCTCTGGTAGGATGTTCTTTTAAGATGTGAACAAGGTCCTCAAAAATGCTGAGTTTTATGGGGTATAAAATTATTTAAAATGTTTAACTGTCTTATTAAGGCTGTGAAGATCATTGGTGTTTGAATTCTGTGACTGTCTTTAGAAAAAATTGGTGTCCTATGGAATCAAGTTTGAAAATGCATGATTTTTCCCCCTCCTCCTCTCACACCTCTTCCTTACTCTTCTTCTTGAAAGAGCACTAGACATTGTCTGCTTTCTGGGGTCAGGGAACCTGGGTTCTGCAGCTGACTTTATAAGCTGTTACCTGTATCACTGCACTGCGTGTGTCCTGATCTCGCTGTGCATGTTTGTGCACAAACAAGAATAAATGAAAGTATCCAGCCTAGCTACTTGACCAAGCTCTTATTAAATTAATGCAGTGAGATGGAGGTAGGATCTTTCTAAAGCAGTGATTTGCAAAGTTGAGCATGTATCAGAATCTCCTAAAAGACTTGTTAACACACAGATTGCTGGGCCCCACCTGCAGAGTTTCTGACTCAGTAGCCTTGGGGCAGGTCTGAGAATTTGCATAGTGAACAGGTTTGTTTCTAAGTTGGTGGCATTGCTTTTTGGTCTAGGGATCACACTTTGAGAACCACTGTTCTAAAGAAATTTCCTTTCCTTTCCCCTAGACTATCCTAAGTTAGACAACCAGTTGTGGACCATCTGGGAATTCCATCTCATTTTTTTTCCTCTGAGCTAGCCAAAAATAGCCTTTTTTCTTTGGGCTTTATTCTGAACCCAAACTAGAAGTCTGGCTGGGCAAGGTTTAGAGCAGCTCACACGGGAGTCACAGGAAACAAAAATTTAGACTTTGTGAGCATGAACATTCTATACTCAACCTTACTAATCTATACTACACTATACTACGCTATTGGGTTTTTCAACAGTTTTCATTTGGGCAAAATACCATGTGATACTGCTCAGATGTTTGAGAATGTTCAGAATATTAGAGAAATAAACATTATCCATGTGTGTTGCAAATACAGGTATGTCAATACAGGCAGCAGGCTAAAAGATCTAATCCGCTGGGTAAAGATTCAGACTCATTTCCCTGCACTGTCATTTGAAACTAAAAAGCACTTGCTAGTCAGAATCCATTTTGACCAGTCTGGCTGCTTTTACCAACCAAAGAGGGTTTGGGGAAGACAAGGAACGAATAGGGATAAGGTTTCTTTGCCATATAACACCTTGCATTCCTAGGACTGGTTGGCCACCTTAGCTGGTGCATGTTCTGTGGTTCTGATGCTGGTGCCAGTTAAGTCGAGAGCATGGAATCAGTACCACAAGGGATGGTTTTAAAATATGTCCACAAATTCTATGAGACTCTTCCCTTCAGGAGGTGGAGCTTAATTTCCCATTCCTTGAGTGTAGGCTCTACTTAGTGACTCTTTTGTAATGACTAGAATATGCAGAAGTCATATTTTACCTGAAACTTGATAACTTTTGATGATAAGTCATGAGAGGCATCTCAGCTTCCCTCTGCCTTCCCGGCTTCCTTGAGCTCACTCATTCGTGGCCAGCTGCCATGTTGTGATGACTCTCAAGCAGCCTTGTGGCGAGGAACTGAGGCCTCCTGCCAACAGCCTGTGAATGAACCAGCTTGGATGTGGGTCCTCCAGCCTCAAACCTTTACATGGCTGCAACCCCGAAAACTTTTTGACTGCAACTTCATGAAAGACCATGAAACAAACCCACCCAGGTAACCCTCTCAAATTCTTAACCCATGGAAATGGTGTGGTCACTAAAGTTTGTTGTTTTAAAGCACTAAGTTTTAGGATAATTTGTTAGACAGTAATAGAAAACTAATGCATTACAATATGACAAAGCTTTATACCACCACTGCTGAGACTGATTCTGTCACATTCCTAGGAAACTTCCAGTGACTCTTCATTACGTCACATTAAGTGCTCTCTGCTCAGATAGGTGATCAAGACCTCCCCCATCATCTCCCACACCTTCCCTAAACAGACCCAATTGAACTATTTGCTGTGCCCCAAACACCCCTCAGATTTTCACACTTTTGCCCACCAGCCTCATCTCTACCTTTAAAAATTCTTGCATCCTCCAGCCCTATCCCCAAAGTCACCTTCTTCATGAAACTATTTTTGAATCTCTTAGCCAGATGTTCCCTTCTTCATCCAAACCCCCAGCGTGGTTCTTGTTCCTGTTTGTTGCCCACCAGTCGCCTTTTCCTCTTTGCTCCTGCTGGCAGAGCCCAGGTTAGGTTTGGATGGTCGTTCCTCATTTTGACTCAGGGGCAAATCCTGATTAGTTGAAGTCACCATAGTGTTTGCAATCCCATTGGCAGTGATTGGTGCAAGAGAGGTCACGTGCTATACTTTTCACCAATGAATTATGAGGAAATGTCTATATTGTGGGAAAGGCTTTTTTTTTTTTTTAAAGGAACAGGTCTGATGAGCATTGTCTGTATGGGTATGATTTCTAGAACCATGATAGCCATCTTATGAATGCAAGGGAAGGTAACCCAAGGATGGATG